ACAGCTATGATATCCCTTGTTCCACATCCTCTTCTGAATCCAGCTTGCACCTCAGGAAGTTCTCTGTCAATATACTGCTGCAAACGTTTTTGGATTATCTTCAGTAAGATCTTAATTGCATGCGATATTAATGATATTGTTCTATAATTTCCACAATCTGTGGGATCACCTTTCTTTGGAATGGGTACAGATATGGATCTTTTCCAGTCAGTTGGCCAGGTAGCTGTCTTCCAAATCTCTTGGCATAACCAAGTGAGTGCCTTCAATGGGGCATCCATTTGTTGAAATATCTCAGTGGGTATTCCGTCAATTCCCAGAGCCTTTTTCTTTGCCAGATAGCCATAGTAGTTTTTTTTTTTTTTTTTTAAGAAACCACCAGGAATCTTTAGACTTCTCTTATTATATGAATGACCTTGAAGATGAAAAATAGGTTGGTTTTCTCTTGTAAATTGAATTGTTAATTGCTAATTAATCAAACCCACCAGCACTCCTCAGAAGGAGGGTTGGGCAATCTACTTCCGTAGTGATCCCGTCTCGGAAACCCAAGGAGGAGTCACTATCAGTCAGATCCGACTCGACAGCAGTACATTTGTTTTTTTGTTTTAGTCAACTAATATACTTGAGTAATTCAAATTGTAGGAAAATATCAGTACTTGGAAATTTTATTAAAGTAGTACATTTAAAAAGCAAAGATTTTAAATTGTCTATTTTTTTATCTATTTATTATGTGACTGGGCCAGATCATTGAACATCAAAGTCATTTTCTGTTTGTAACTCACCTGGATGGCCACACGCCAAGAAGAGTAACCACAGAGTTAATGTAGTATGAAAGTGTTCCTATTATCAAATTTTTTTTAAATTTTGCTTTTTGATTGCTGTTGTTTTTAATTTATTACCAACCTTTGAGTGATAAATGATTAGAATTTTACTATCACTTCTAATTTAACAAAAATAAGTTTGTTTTACTGAGTAAATTAAAAATTTTTTTTATTGATTTGTACCTTAGTATTCTGCAATTTATGACATCTGGTGGTGCAGTAGGTAAAGCATTTGGTGGCTAACCAGAAGATCAGCAATTCAAATTCACCAGCTAGCTGCTCCACAGGAGGAAGATGAGGTGATCTTCTGTAGACTTATAGCTTTGAAAATCCTGTGCAGGTCACTATGAGTCAGAAATGACTTAATGGCAGTGGCTTTGGTTGGGTTTAGGTTCTGCAGTTTGAATAGAAATTTTTGATTAGCACCTGACACTGCTAAAATCAAGAAAAATAAATCAAGAAAAATAATATCTAAAGTATAGTAATAATATACCAAAAATGTGTTTTATGACTACTGGTTTATATGTTAAATATATTCTTTAAAATTTTATGACATTTAAATAATCTAATTGGACTTTTTTTCTTTTAGATTTCTGGTGTGTGCTACAACTCCAGTGTGTTAAAAATTCATCAGGTGCTGTGCATTCCTAGCTGGATGGCAAAGTTCTTTTCTTGGACACTTGAACCCATCTTTTCATCTTCAGAACCCACCAGTGAAGCCAGAATTGGGATGGGGGCAACAGTAGACATCCAGAGACAACAAAGAATGGAACTGCTTGATCGACAGCTGATGCTCTCTCAGTTTGCCCAAGTGAGGCGACAAAGACAGCAGCAGGTAAAAATAGTAATAATAATTTTAAAAAATACTCATTTGTCTAAGTAAACACTCCCCCTGTGATGGTATATATGATAGTGATTACATTTTATTCCTGTGCATGGCAATGTAGATTTTGCATTTTCCAGATAAAATATATAGGTCTCTGATAGTGGCTATTCTTGGTTTTTTAAAATGGTAAAGAAACAAATTTTTGCTGAAAGTTTGGTCATACTGGACATTCTTGTTCCAGTTATATTAGTAACCATTATTTCTTAGAGAAACACCAACCTAGTTAACAAAATGTGGTATTTATCTGTTTTTATAATCTTGTAAAAAGCCACATTGTCTTCCTGTGAAAGTACTTATCATGTGCTCTGGAGTGAAGAGCAAAAGTAAAAATTCTTGATTACCCTTGGTTGAAGTGGAGAGAATATAAAGGTGAGAAGATTTTCAATGAAACAATTTACAATGAGATAATCAAATAAATGCTAAGTTTTTGTTTTGTTTTGTTTTATTTACCTTATCAAAAATTATTGAGAATTTATTTAGAACTACTGCTATATCCAAACAACCTGACACTTTACTTGTCTTTCAAGGGAGACAGGGGAAAGAAGGTTACTGTGACTATATGTTTGTCTGGCTGGAACCTCAGGTCCAGTCTTTCTTCGACACTTCTGTGATCCAGCACACTGAGCTCTTCATTGCTTGTCTCCATCTTATTTATTCTTTGGGATAGTAAAAGAGGATACTATTCTCTCCTGTTATCTCCCTGTCTTCTGCCTCCCACTGAGGTAGGAGGCAGGTCTGCATGCCTTCACAATGGCCTGGGGAAGTGAAATCAGGTCTGGAGTTCCTGGCGTCCTATTGGAGATGTGGGTGCCAGAGTTTATATCTGGTGTGGGAAGAAAGAAGTACCCCTCAATGGGGTGAGTCTACAAAGGAAAGAGAGAAGCAAAAGTTGAATTTGAAGTAACTCTAGAATATATGATGAAAATTCCCATTCCTAAGGCAGTTGACTGCTAACCAGAAGGCTGGTGGTTCAAGCCCACCAGCCACCCCTTGGAAGGAAGATGGGGCAATCTACTTCCATAGTGATACTGCCTCAGAAGCCCAAGGAGAGGTCGCTATGAGTTGGGTCCGACTTGACGGCACATAACAACAGCAACAACGACATCCATCATGTAGTTAAAGAGAGAGGACAGATTCCTCTTAGAAAGGTCAGAGTTGCAGGTATATATCATAAGGTCAGTTTAGAGGTCAGAGCTGAAAGCATAGTGTTAAATGAGTTCTATAAGGGAAACACTACATTCAAAATGAATATATAGGCCTTGAACTAAGCCTTGTATCTAGCAGGAAGAGGAGGAGGTAATTCCTGCAAGGGAAGCAGAGGGAAAAAATGAAAGTTACAGGAACTCAGAATGGACAGTGAAAGCTGAGGGAGAAGTAATAGTGAGTATAAATATTTTCTTAGTAGAATGAACAGAGCTTATGAGGGAAAGAAAGAGGTAGTGGATAGATTCTGAGGTTTCTGACTTAGATAATGGGATAAATGGTTGGCAGTATCATTTTAGCAATAAGACAAGAATAAATTGTGAAAAATATATTATCTGAGATACCTTTGGAATACCTGGGAGAAGATTCACATTATGTAAGTGTGCATCTTATGGAATGATTGTAATTGGGGTAAGGGGGCTGAAACTTTAAACCTCCACCAACCAGTCATTAAATATAGATTGTCCCCAGGAAGGAGGCATAATCTTGGGTAGGTTGGCTCTCTTTAGGTCCAAGTCATCCACAGAGAGAATCTCAGTTGAGAATTATCAGATGTATACACCCGGCAACTAGAAGACTGATTGCTTCAATTCTGAAGGCAGCAGGGGGACCTTGGCATTATAACATAGCTTCAACTACAGTCCATCCCTTGTGCTGCTTGGATCTTCTTTACGTAAGTTCTTGGAGTAACTCCTTCTGGATTCCAGTGGGCGTCTTTTCCTGAGAGAAACTTTCAGAGGAGTATTAGCAGGATGAATCACATCCCCTTCTGCTGATGCAGGTCTCAAGGCCATACTGATAATCATCTTCTGCTCCTTCTACTATCCATTCTAGAGTCCCGTCACCCTTGGCTAGAAGGCTTACTTGAAGGGACATGCACATCCTCATCCCTGCGAGCTGTGAGTCCCTGGTTACCCTGTCCTCCTCAGGCTGTGGCTATTGCACTTGTCCATGTACCATAATAATTTGCCAAGGGAGTAAGTATCAAGAGACAGCTAAGTTGGTTACCTGGGTGTCGTACATGTTCATTCCTTTCCCCTTTTTTGTGACTCTAGCCTATTTTTTCCTGATAATCAGGGCTAATTAGACTCCTACCAGGCTAATTACTCCTTTCCTTTCTTGCTGGTCTTTCGGCACAATGGGCCCTATAACTGGGTAACAGCTATACCTTAAAATGTATGGCCTGTGGTGGAAGAAGTCCCCTTGTGTAAGCAAAGATCTCTAAACTTGTAGAACCTACAGCTGCATAGACAGGAAGCACAGATTCATCACATGGGTCACTGAGAGTGCTAGTAATCAGAGTCATTTCTCCCTTCACCTCTTTTTTCCAAGGCTCATGTGTTCTGCCTGTTAGGGACATAGCACCCATATAATGATTGTTGATTTAGGATTTATACTGCATCCTAGCCAACACTTGTCTGTTAGTTTGTTTAACTGTGATGCTGGAAGCAATACCACCAGTATTTCATGTATTAGTATGGTCACTTATGGTACACAGTTTTCAGCAAAGCCTCCAGAGTAAGACAGACTAGGAGGGACATTGTTTTGGTTACCTAGTGCCGCTTTGAGAAGAATATACCACAAATGGGATGGCCTTAACAAACAGGAGTTTATTCTCTCACAATTTGGAGGCTTTAAGTCCAAGTTCACAGTGCCAGGCTCTAGGGGCTGTGTGAAAGCCCCTCAACCTTGGGCTTCAGCTCTGCCTCTTGCTCCCAGCCCACTGAAGCTAGAGGCATCTCTTCATTCAGGCAGCTACTGGCTGCTGAGGCTAACCAGCCCAAAGTCAACAAATAAAATGGCATAGTCCTGATGTTACCAAACCACATGGCAGGCCATTAATTCAAGTCCATTGAAAATCCCACGGTCAGCAGAGTATGGCAGGCTGCTGAACAATGACACAGCTACATGCATGGTCCAAGTGTGCCATAAGCTAGAGACCATTCCCAAAGCTGCTGCTTGTATATGGGAAGCAGACCACATCTCTAAGCAGCTACTCAGCTGCTCAATACATTCCACCTTGGAGTTAATTACCAATCTTACCATGAGTAATAACTACATCCAGCTGCCCAGCCACTGGACCAGGCCTAGCCAAGTTGACACACAAACTTAACTACCGCAGACATGGTGGTGTATTTCTGAAAGAACTGACCAGTGAAAACCTTATGGATAGCAGGGAAACATTGTCTGATATAGTCCTAGAAAATGAGCCCCTCAGGGTGGAAGGTACTTAAAATAAAACTGGGAAAGAGTTGCCACCTCTAAAGAGAGTCAACCTTAACGATGTGGGTGGAGTAAAGCTTTCAGGATCTTCATTGCTAAAGTTGCACAACTCAAAATGAGAAGAAACAGCTGCTATCATCCATTAATAATTGGAATGTGTAATGTATGAATCTGGTGCTTACTCACTGATCTGCACTGAACACTTTCCCTTGTTACCCT